TTCCCATCTAATCGCCCATCCAGTAGTTTTCAAGCAGCAGACTTAGGCCAGGGGCTGGACTATTGGTTCCACACTGACAAGATAGAAGTGGCCCTTGGCCTGACAGTGGGCTGTGACCTTGACCTGGAAACCAGGGAAGGCTTCCTGGAGGAAACTGTCTTGGAAGCTGAAGCCTGAAGGCTGAGGAGGACTTAGGGTGGTGGAGATAATTTGCAGAAAGAGGAGGCGGCATGTGGGAAGGGCAAGAGAGAACGTGGCCAGCGAGGAGCCGGTAAGCTCGGTGAGGCAGGGTTTGGTGGGGGGCTGAGAGAGGTGAGAGTGAGGTCAGCACATGGGGTCGCCTTAGGGGGTCTGAGCTTTATCTCGGGAGCCACAAGGAACCAGTGAAGAGTTTTAAGCAAGGCAATGACATAGTCAGATGTGTGTCTTAGCTGGTTTTTCCAGAAACAAACCTTGAGACAGGGGTTCATCAGCAGGTTGTTTCTGTGGGGGGTGGGGGGTGATTCCAGAAAATACCAGTAGGGGAATGAGGGATTGAGACTGGCAAGGAGGCCAGCCAAGAGAGCATGTGTGGTCGAGCAAGTCGCCCCTGTGGGTACGGGAGCTTCACCCTGCTGGGGAACCCTGGGCATTCCGTCAGAGTTATTCCCCCCGACGGGGAGGGAGCTGGAGTGTTGATGCGCCACCCACCTCCCATCGGCCATTGGGCGAAGGCTGTCTGGGATGGGTGGGGCGCGGATACTGCGCCCTGGCTCTTCTAGCTTCCCCGTGGGGCAGGCAGAGCAGGCCTAGCTCAGGCCCTCGGGCAGAGATGTGGGGGCAGGCTCGGAGTGGGCCGAGGGACGGTAGGCTGGAGGGACACTGAGAAGCAGACAGGAGCCCAGGGATCTGTGAGGAGCCCACAGGAAGACATGTCCGGGAGATGTTGCTGTCCCGGGGAGGCTGAGGTTATGAGCAGAAGGGCACAAATGTCGGGATGCGGAAATGCCCAGGGTTGGGTGACAGACGGGGGGGGAATCAGGAACACTGTGGAGAGGATGCACACCTCCCAAAGCTGCAAGGGCCCCTGCGCCTCTCAGAGGGCTCTCCCCACCCCCACACTGCCTGTTCTCCAGCAGGTCCCCCTTTGCAGCCTCCAGGGCAGCGGGGCCGCACCCCAGAGATCACTCAGCGGGTTTGAAGGGAGATGAAGGTGCTGTGAAGGAACTGCTTTAAAAAACCCCCAAACTGGGCTGTGCTTGGTGCCAGCCCCAGGTCTGAGGAGTGATCACTTGGACCTAGGACGGGGGATGAGAAAAAAGCAATGCAGCCGAGACCCCCCGCGCCCCGCCCCCCCAGTCTGAACGCCACCCTGCCCCCTGGACCGTCCTCCAAGTCCACATCTGTCTCCCGATCAGACAGGCCGCCAGAGGGCAGGTGGGCTGCACGGCTAGTTTGCGGGACCTGGTTTACAGAAGGTGCTCTGTAACCATCTGCTCAAGGATGGAACCTGTGAGTGGTCCCAGCGTTCTGTGCTCTGTGCGCTTGGGAAGGGGGCGGGGGGAGTGCTGGGGACAAGTGAGCAGCTCTAAGGACAGATGGGGGTGGAAGGATGGTTGGGAAAGGGGACGGGAGTGTTGAAGTAGTGAGGGAGAAGATGGACGGTGTCATCAAGCCAGGGTTTTTCTTTGCCAGAAAGAGAAGCCAAGTCTGGATAAACTCAGTAGAAAAAGAATGTAGCTCTAACCAATGACCGATGGGAGGTGCTATATACTGCCGCCCAACTCCCTCCACGCGGAGCTGGGATAACTCTGAGGTGCGTGTTCTTCGTTGGCTCTGGGGGCCCACGGTGGTGACTTGCTGAATGGTGGGTCACTGTCCCTTCCCTGGCTCACTCGTCCTCTCCCCTGCTGGGCTTTCTGGGATTGCCTCTCCCATAAATCACCTATCCTCGAAACTTTGGCTCACCTCTGCTCCTGAAGGGACCCCATACCTGGGGCAGGTGCCTCCTACGGACAGACCCCATCGCATGTCCTTTCCTAGTTGCAGGGGAGGACGGGGAAGCAAAAGAGTCGGGCATTTCCAGCTGCTGGGGGGGTGGGGCTCTGCTTTCCACCGGGACTCATAGGTGGTGTGTCATCAGGGCCCCTATCGGTTCATTGGGGCTTTTTCAACAAAATATCACAGACTGGGTGGCTTACGCATGGGAGAAATACGTTCCTCTCCATTCTGGAGTCTGGAAGTCCCAGGTCAAGGTGTCGGTGGATTCAGTGGGCCTGTTTTCTGTTTGTAGAGAGCACCTTCCCATGGGTCCTCCAACGGTGGAAGGGGCCTGGAATCTCTCTGGGGCCTCTTTTACGACGGCACTAATCCTGCTCATATGCCCTCCCACAGCACCCCCCTCCTGAGGCAATCACCGTGGGGGCTACTATTTCAGCCTGTGACTTTTGAGGGGACACAAACATTCAGGCCATAGAGAAGCCAGTGGCAAATTCAAATTGTAATAATTTCAGGGAGGGTTGTTTCTAAAAGGCCTGTGTATGGGGCGGGGGCGGTTATAGAGAAACACATGGGATAGTGCAGTAACTCAGGATTGGTACAGTGGAACTGCTGCCATCCCTGGGTCTGAAAGGGTGAGAGAGGGGGGCAGTTGCCCAGAGACAGGCAGAAGCCCCCTGGGAAGAGCAGTGACCCAGCTGGACCCGGGCCACCTCACTGAGAGACTGGAGGGGAGCAAAAGCTCGAGTCTCTGAAATTCCCACCAACCCCCCCAAGCCCCCGATCTCTTGCCCCCTAGAGACGGGTGCGGACAGATCAGCCTCCCAGGCCAGAGCAGGGTGGGACAGGGTGAGGACAGAGCCTGAGGAGGGCCGATGGAAGCAATCTGGCCCAGCAGGGAACTCCCCGAGCAAACAAGGGGCCTCGGGCTGACAGTCTTCCAGTCTGTGTGGGTTGGAAGGGGAAATTGCACACTGGGTCTCGAATTGGGGCTGAGGGCAAGCTGCCCCTCAACAAGGTTGGCCCATTCCTCCTCCCTGGCCATCCCACACCTTTTCGCCCAAGGGCCCTTTTTCTAGAGGCTTGTTGGTCTCTCCCAAGACTGGGGCTCGGAGCGCCGTGCGCAGGACTCGGAGACCTGACTGTGCTAGTAACTTCTACAACCGCAGCTCCATCCTCCGGGTCCCAGCTTCCCTAGATGGAACACCAGGAGGGGTAACAAGATGGCCTTTCAGTACCCTTTACGGAACACTGACCTTCTAGAAAGGCTTGTGGCCCCCTTCCACACAGTCCTGGGAACGGAGAAAAATGAAGAGTATCCTTCTGGGGAAACCAAGGCCCAGGGAACAAAGCGATTGCTGGAGGTCACTGATCCAGTGGGCACTTAAACAAGGCTCCCCTCTTCAGTCAGAGCAGTCCCCCGAGCCAGGCCTGCTTTCCCAGGGGGCTACGGCCCACACCCATGTTTATTTTCAATGAGCGCAGCAGCCTGCATGACCTTTCAAGATTTTTCTTGTGCTCTTGTTTGTGCGCGTGGCTGTGAAGGGAAAGGTGTAAGAACATTGGCTTCAAGCAGCCTTTTAGAGCCAGCCAGTCCCTCCTGCCCCCACCCCCCTTGGGGATTTGGGGTCAGCGTAACATGACTGCTGGGCTTCTGAGAGTATGGGTCCACACAAACCTCAAAGGCCTTAATTTGCAGGGAGTTTCGGAGAGAGTCAGGAAGCCAGGCCAGCAACCCAGGGCCCCTCTGACGGCAGCCCTGCCCGGCCCAATCCTGCCCGTTCTAGCAGGCTGCCTGAATCTCGCCACCCACCCCCATGGGCCTGTGTCCCAAGCGAGTGAAACAAAGACCATTTCACTTGAGGGCAGACCCCCGAGGCTCTGGGGTTCCCCACATGCCGAGGCCAGGAAGCCTCAGTCACCCCCTGGTTGGAGCCAATGCCTTCTCCCCTCCAACTGTGGGGGACGAGGGAGAGCTCTTCAGCCCGTCACATGGGTTCTGGTGAAATGACAGCTTTCAAGTTGATGGCTCTGGCTCGATTTCGGCCTGCACACACGTTCTCTGTGACTTGTACGTAGGTTTATTTTTACAAAGGGAACTGCCTTGCCAACAATTAGAGAAGCTAATTTGGGGTTTCTGGCTACTTTCAGAAATCCCCAGCCCTGCCAGCCCTCCTGTCTGGGAATGCCTGGCGGGGCCAGAGCTCCATAAATCAGCTCACCATAGTCCTCACCCTTCCCTGTGGCCACCCGGCTAGGGGCTGAACGTCTGTTGCCTTTCTCCCCGAGTTTGTGCTGCTGGGTCTCGAATCAGGAGTTTCGAGGGAAGTGAAATATTTTGGGTCCCCACGTTTCCAGCGCAAGTGGAAAGCCACTTGCTGGCCTACTCCGGGGTGAGCGCCCTGTCCTGCTGCGTAGGGTTGCTGATGTAGACGTCCGTCTCTCCGGCCGCGTTTGGTCCCGGCCCTCTCCTCTGCCACAGGGACGGCCATGACGGTGGCCATCACAGCAAGGGTATAAGTCCTCCGTCAGGCTGTGCACACGCGAGGCCGGTCCAGACGGTCCCAGATTTGGCTGAGGGGCACAGCTGCTGGGCCAAGAAGAGAGAGCAAGCAGAGCAGCCGGGACGGGCAGGGTTAGACCCAGTGGGATGAAGAATTCCCCATGCGGGCAAGGGCTGCAAGGGAAAGTCTTCAGTGACAGCAAGCAGTCTGGGAGGAAGGGCCTCCTGGCCTTCTGCCCAGCTCCTGACCCAGGCTGTGGCGTGGGTAGCAGGCGCTGGAGGGCATGGCCTGGCCCCAGCTCATTTCCAGGGCTCGAGAATATCAGAGAGCTAAGGCAGTTTGGACAGGAGACTCAGGGCTGGCCTGGAAATTCAGCCACTTCGTTGAAAAAAAAAAAAAAAAGTAAGCCTCAGTTTTCCATCTATCTACTGGGGATATGGAGAGAGGCCCTGGCTCCCTCCGTGAGGACCCCATTCAGTCCAGGCAGAGGTCCCCTGGTCCTCTCAAGGCCCACTGCGCTCACCACACTGGCCCACTCCGGTTTCCTGGAGGCGCCCCCAGAAGACCGTGGGGGGCATACTGCAGGCAGGTTGCCCCCTCCAGGTGAGGCAAGCACTTGGCGTGGTAGAAGAATCTCAGGTGACCGTGGTTCAGGTTGCACATCACCTTATGGAAGCCCGACTGCGCTTTCTGGTCGCAGGTGCCGAGGAGGTCGTCGTCCCAGCCTCTGTCTTCGTCCCAGACCTGCACCCGCAGGGGCCTCTCCGTGGACAGGAGCACGTCCCCGAAGTCCAGCCGTGTCTCCCACTGGGGGTGGTTACTGTTCCACACCGTGTTGGTTCTCAGCTCCTGGTCTCCAAAGAAGACTTTCAGATAGGCATCTGTAGCAGTGAAGTGGTCTCCCCACAGGCCCGTCGCCTGGAATTTCATCACCTCCAAGTGGGCCAGGCCCCTCTGCCGGGGACAGCAGTCCTGGTTGGTGGCCGCCGAGCTGGGGCACACACACTGGCATGGGTCATGGGGGCTCTTCTGCTGCCCCGGGGGGCAGGGCCTACTGCAGTCCTTCCACCGGGCCCTGTCCATCACGTACTTGCTCACGGCCCGCCTCAGCGACTCCCGCCGTGGGTCCCGGCTCTCCACGAGCACGTGCAGAGGCTCCAGGGTGTAGTCCACCAGGCCGGGTCTGGCCATCAGTGAGTCCATCCAGGCTGAGAACTGCTCCGGCCCGGCCTGGTTCCCAAACAGCAGGTCGCCCACGGAGGTATGGTGGCCCCCGACTATTTGGGAAAAGCGTTCCCGGTAGGACTGGTGGAAGGAGGTCTCCATCTTGTGCTGCTTCTTCTTCTCCTCACAGGCCTTGAATTCTGATGAAGAGCTGGCGCGGCCACTGATGCTGACCTGGGCCTCGACGGCCAGGCAGTCCTCCACCTCATTGGCTGTGAGCCCGTTCAGGGCCAACTCACAGGTGCGCAGGGCAGTGAGGGCCGAGACCCGGCCGCCCAGCTCCAGGGACCGGATGAAGTGGGTGCCATAGTGGGAGATGAGCCTGATGTAGTCAGCCTCTGTGGAGGTGTTGAAGTTGGGGGGCAGGTCACTGAGGGCCTTCTGGAAGTTGGGGTGGAGTGGGGGAGAGTGTACCAGGTGAAAACTGGAAGGGGAGAGAAACATCAGATGGGCCAGCAGTGGTTAGTTTTCCCCATTCAGCCATCCCTCAAGGTCGCCCAAGGTCACATGTAAGTGATAGAAAGACAACTTGAACCCAGGTGGCCTGGCTCCAAGCCCAAGCTCTGAACCACTGAGCTGTCAGGGAAACCCAAGGTTGCTCCTTGGTGACCCAGGTATGCTGAATTTCTGCTTTTCCTTCGCAAAGTAAAGTTTTTTCTTTCCTTTTTATTTTCTAGTTAGAAAACTGATGGTGACCCTCTAGCTTTGGAACCTAGTCCTGTGGCCCTGTCCGTCTGTCCCCTAGATCGGGCTCCTGATAGCTCTGGCCACAAGGCAGGAGGCGCCCTGTCTCACTGTGGGAGAAATCAGGGTGGGTGACTTGGGTGCTCCATGGAGACCATGCATTTCTGGGATTGTGGGACCCAGGTCCCTGAAGGGAGGGGTGTGATTGCTGCTGTCTAGCCCTGTAGTTCTAATTCCCAGCACAGAGCCTGATACATGACAGGCATGCTCGTGGTCGAGTGGGTGAATGAGGCCCAGTGATGGGAAGTCTCCTGCCCACAGGACAGAGGGAACTGGGCACTCCGTAGATCCAAATGGCACCATGTTGCGGATCTCAGCACAGCCTTGCTCGCTCCTCCTCCACCTGTTCTCTCCCAGGGCTCTTCCTGTTCAGGGGACCCCGGGGCGGAGGCCCGAGGGCACCATACCACCCAGTGTGCGAGAACCAGGGTTGTGTATCCTCCTGGTGGACGCAGCCTCCTAGTCCCCACCCTGCCATCCCAGGGCTCCGGGACCACGCCGAGTTCCCCAGCCCTTTCTCTGAGCTCCTCCACCCCCACCTGCAGCACTCACCTGTAGAAGTGACACTCCACCAAGTCAGTGCTGAAGCTGTACTGGTCCTGGTGGGTCTTCTGGGCAGCGAAGTTGGCCACCCTGGAGTGCGAGCCGGCCACGGTCACCTGCACATTGGCGCTGGGTTTGGGAGACACATCCAGCCCCACCCGCCAGTCGTTGCGGATGCTGCTGGCCGCCTCCCTGGCCACGCCCTTGATGGAACTGGCCTTGGCCCTGACCACTTGGCGCTGACAGCCTGAGCCCTGGGAGCGCCAGTCGGTCAGTGCCAGGGGCAGGCGCTGGAGGGCGCCCTCCTGCAGGGCATTCTGGCAGAGGGTGCAGGTGCCATCCGGCCGCAGGAAGCTCTCTGTGTCCACCGGGAAGGAGCCCGAGCGCCTGAGGCTGGTCACGTCCACGCCCTCCCCGGCCAGCGCCGCGCCGGGCACGAACACCTGGTTGCGCCGGCACTCATTGCGGGTGGCCGTGCGGCAGGGGGCTGGGGTGGGCGTGGGCAGCAACAGCAGGAGGAGGCCCAGGAGGAACAGGCGGGCACCCATGGAGCTGCGGAGACGGGGGGCGTCTGGGCTCTGGAAGCTGCGGGCAGAGGTATGGCGGGATGAACCGTCGTGGCATATGGAATGGAGAGGGAATGGGATACCTCGTAAGTCATTGAACGTCAGAGCGGCAATGGCCTTTACAAACCTGGCCCATCCCCCACCTGTACAAATGGGCCCGAGGATGAGAAGGGACTTGCCGGAGGTCACACAGCCAGGAGGAGCCCCTTGCTAGGGTTTCATTATTTAAGGCCTGATGGGGATTCAGACTGATGGCTTTGTCCCCAGGACCACAGCCGCTGCTGGTGGGGAAGGGGCTCTGCGCGCGGAAGTGGGGGCAGAGCGCAGATGGAGCGATTTTGGGGAGGGATCTGGGACTCTAGAGAAGCCTGGATTCTGGGGGAGTATCATTTTGGGCCCCAGAACAAGCCATGCTTTTCCCACCCCACCTCTCTCGTTCTCTGTCTGCCCTCTCTCGTTCTCAGCCCTTACCAGAACTGGGAAAGAAAGAATGCGTTGCCCTTATTGTCCCCACCTTCCCGTTGGGGCCTGCTCTCTGAGCCTCATGGGAGAACAGCAGCCCGAATTCCAGCCTGGAGGCTGAGCACGTGCCTCTGCCCTTGCCTCCTGTGTGGGGAGGGCTTCACGCTCCCTCTCCAGATCTCCGGATGCCCACGCCTCCTCTGGCATTCTCTGCCATGCTCTGCAGAATTCCGGCAGCACCGCGAGCTACCTGTGGCCTATTGTTGGGCAACCATCGGCTAGAAATTTCTTCCCAATTTTGAGGTGGCTCTGGAGCCTCACAGGGACCCGTTTATAATCTGGAGTCTCCATACTCTCCCCCTATCCAAACTGGACTCCTGGGAGGGCTGTCCCTTCCAGCGCCTGCCAGGGACCGCAGCTTCTCTGAGACATGGGGGCTGTGGAGAGCAGGAACGCCTGCATTCTAGCCAGGGCCTTCTGCGCCTCACCTGAAGGAGTGACTGGGTGGTGGGATTCCAGGTGACATGCAGGCCCCAGGGGAAGTAAATAGGAGAAGGCTCTGGGGTCATCCCACTTGGGAGGCCAGCACAGTTTATGACCTTAATGCACAGAGCTCCATCTCTATCCTGGTCCTCGTCATATGATCTTCCAGGGAGCCTGTTTCCAGCTTTCTAAAAGGCTCTCCCTGTCAGCATCTGAAGCGGCCTTATAGACGATGCCCTATAGCGTTTCCACTTTCTCTGTGAGGACACCGAGGCCCGGAGCAGGCATGAGGCCACCCAGCAAGTCAGTGACAGAACACAGTCTCATGGGTCATAGCACTTCCTGCTCCAACAGGCTCTTCCCCGGATGGAGCAGCCCCACTCCCGGGCCTCTCTGTCCCCACCCAGGGGCTCGCAGCCTCCCCGATGCCCGCCTTCCTCCCTACCTGGGGTCCTGGGCGGAGACGCTCTACACGGACATTCTCTTCCCCCAGGAGAGGCTCCTGAAATGGTGGTGTCAGCCCCCAGGCAGGCTCACCACACAGCTCATCACCCAGGCCACCGTGCACATCACTTCTGCTTCCTGCCCCGCCCCTCCAGCTGTGGTCATGGGTCCCCTCCGCTCTCCCCCTCCCACCAGCACCCATCCTGTCCTCACCTCCCCATCCGGCCCTTCTGACAGCCCTCCAGGAAGCAAAGCTGTGAGGGCCAGAATCTCATCCCTCAAGCAGAGCTGCCTGGGGCGCGGAGGCCTGGGCTGACAGGTGAGGCTTGGTGTGGAGCACACACAGGGGCCTGGGGATTTTGAGATTCAACTCCGGGGTTGACGAGTGGGCCAGCAGGGCAGTCCCCCTGCTTCTGATCTGCAGCGTCACGTGTGTGAGGCCCAGGAGGTGGCATAGCATAAGAGCTCACCATGGGGCTTGGAGCCTGCCGCCTGGGCTTGGGCTAGCTCCTTTAGGCTCTAGCTGTGTGACCTGGCAAGCTTCTCTAGCCTCTCTGGGCCTGAGTTTCCTGGCTGAAAAGGGGGATGATAATAGTGTAGACCCTACAGGTTGTAAAGAACGTGAGAGTTACTACGTGTGATGGGCTTAGAACAGTGTCCGGTTCTCAGCATGTGTGAACTCAGGTGACCATTTCCTGCTCCCCAGGCAGTGGGGAGAAATTAACCTCCTGGCCCACTTCCTACCCACACCTGCTTCCCAGCCCGCCCCGGCTCTAGACCCCAGACAACGTACCCCAGGACACAGTGACCTGGTCCCCCTTTTGTGAGGACAACCAGTGGCCACACTGGTTCCCCAGCCCCTCCCCAGCCCTGGCCTGAGGCTGCAGCCGCAGAGTGGGTGGGTGAACAAATGGGGAAAGAGATGTGAGTGGGGCCAGAGGCCCAGGGTCTTCATCCTTTGTCTTACCTGAGGTCAGGGTGGGGTGAGGTTTCCATGGGTTGAGTGACTCACAGGGCAACTTCTGGGGGCCAAAATCACACTGGTTTGAGGTGAAGACAGCTGGGTAAGTGGGGGGGCTGTTTTAAGAGTTCACACTCCCAACTGGTGTACATGACGGGAACAAATACCCACAGGCCCCAGACCACATGTGACACCAAGGGGTAGCTCACCCCTTGAGTCTTTGTCTCCCCATGAGGGCCTTGCTCTTACAGGAACAGGGGCTTATGCTGCCTTCTGGGAACCTGGACGTCATCTCATCCCCGAGGTTCCGCCCCGCTCCAGAAATTGTAGCCTCCTGACCGCCTTCTATCTGTCTGTGCCTAGTTTTGTCACATGGACGTAAACAGGAGTTGGGTTGTTGTTTGCATGGCAGTGTGAAGATATATATTAAGATCTCTGAAACTTTTCAGAGACCGCTACCAGGTAAGTACTCTGGAGCGGCATTCAGAGAAATTAGTGTTGTTTTTACAGAAGTAGAAGGTAACCCGATTAAAATAGATCGACACATCTCAACATCAGCTTTTCAAAATGAAATTCAATTTAAACAGGGAGGAAAAGGCCCTACATGTCGAATAGTGTTGATACCATCGCATGAATAAAATTACATCTCTGCGTTTAAGGAATGGATAGGGACACGCCATGTCTCTTTCAGGAACACAAAACATATTTAGAATCTAGTGTGATTCACAACATATCTGTTGAATGCCCCTGTTACGGCTGCTGTCACCTTTAAAAATAAAAATCACCCGGGAAAAACTAAAAAAAAAAAAAGAAAGAAAGAAAAAAGAAAAAAAAAAGAGGTCAGCCTGCCGAGGCTGTGAGTTTAGTTCTGTAGGAAGAGACAGGTGAGGAAGAGGGAACAGGTTGTAGACTCAACTTTGTTGGAAACTTGCTAAGTTTGAACCCCTTTCCAGGTTAGTTTGCTCATCCATAACATCAAACGGAGGACTTGGGGATTTCTCACAATCCTTGGATTCTTGATGAAATGTGCATTTGGCACTTTCCGAGTCACGTACCCACCACCATGATCAATTTTCAAACACGTTCATCACTCTGAAAAAGAAACCCTGTATCCTTTAGTGGTCACTGCTCTTTTCATTAGACGCTGGTCTCCTTTCTGTCTCTATGGATGGAGGACAGAAAGTGTAGGACATTCCGTATTAATGGACTCATGGAAGATGTGACCTCTGTGTCTGGCTTATTTCATGTAACATCATATTTTCAAGGTTCATCCAAGTTGTACCATGTTATCAGTCCTTCATTCTTTTTTTGTGGCTGAATAAAAGTCCCTTGTATGGAGTTACCACTTTGTATTTACTCATTAATTGTGGCCATTTGGGTTGTTTCCACTTCGGGGCTGTTATGAATAATGCTGCTATGAACATTTGCGTACAAGTTTTTGTGTGGACCTGGGTTTTCATTTCTCTTGGATATATACCTAATCATGGAATTGCTGGGTCATAAGGTAACTCTACATTTAACTTTTCAGGAACTGTTTTCCTACATGGCGGCACCATTTTACTTTCCCACCAGCATTGTAGGAGGGTTCTAACTTCTCCACATTGTTATTATTGGACTTTTTAATTACAGCCATTCTTGTAGATGTGAAGTAGTATCTCAGTGGTTTTGATTTGGATTTCCCCAATGGCTAATGATGGTGAGCTTCTGTTCATTTGCTTATAGGTCATTTGTATATGTTCTTTGGAGAAATGTCTATTCAAGTGCTTTGCCAATTTTTGAATTGTGTTGTCTTTTTGTTGTTCATTTATAATAGTTCTTTATATATTTTGGATTCAAGACCCTTTTCAGATATATGATTTGCAAACATTTTATCCTCTTCTGGGTTATCTTTTCACTCTCTTAAGAGTGTCCTTTGAAGCACAAAACTTTTTTTTTTAACTTTAATGTAGTCCAAAGTATCTGTTTGTCTTTTTGTTGCTTATATTTTTAATGTCATACCTGAGAGGTCTTTGCCTAACCCAAGATCACGAAGACTTACTCCTATACTTTCTTCTAAGCGTCTCATAGTTCTACCTCTCCCATTTAGGTATGATTCACCTAGAATTTATTTTTGTGCTTGTAAAGGGGTCCAACTTTATTCCTTTGCTTGTGGATATGGTTTTGATGTCTATTTTCCTAAGGTTACTAAATATTTACCCTTGACAGAAAGGTTCCATGGATACTCTACACAGAATGCATGAGGAAACTGTTGATCCTGATTGCATCTACTTACATAAACTCTACTTACTCTAGGCACTACACACACGAACTGTAATCAGAGAGGTCCTTCAACAAAACGGGGGTGCAGATTGCAATTATCGTGCCTATTTTGAAAAAAACAACAACAACAAAAAACCAAATGCAGTCACAGTGACATTCCCTTCATCTTGTGATTATTCTTGGTTCCCTCTTCCTCTGGGGTTCTTCATGGGAAAGACCCGGGCAGTCTTTCCTCTTTTTCCATTCTGTGGAACACTGGCACCCAGTTTTTGTACTCAGCCCATATCTTCAGGAGTGATGGCTCTATTCGGATTTTCTGGCTTTTTTCCTGGTATCAGTTTTGGTAAGTTATATTTTTCTAGGAAAATTTCCAATCTGTCCGAAATTTCACTGTTGTGACCATGAAGTTATTTATAGTAGTCTCTCTCTCTCTTGCTCTTAGAAAAAATATCTTTCTGGGACGCCTGGGTGGCTCAGTCGTTAAGCGTCTGCCTTCGGCTCAGGTCATGATCCCAGAGTCCTGGGATCGAGCCCCGCATCGGGCTCCCTGCTCCGCGGGAAGCCTGCTTCTCGCTCTCCCACTCCCACTGCTTGTGTTCCCTCTCTCGCTGTGTCTCTCTCTGTCAAATAAATAAATAAAATCTTTAAAAAAAAAAAAAGAAAGAAAAAATATCTTTCTGAATCTTTTTAGCAATGTTTTCTTTTTTTTTTTTTTTAAAGATTTTATTTATTTATTTGACAGAGAGAGAGATAGCGAGAGCAGGAACACAAGCAGGGGGAGTGGGAGAGCGAGAAGCAGGCTTCCCGCCGAGCAGGGAGCCCGATGCGGGACTCGACCCCAGGACCCTGGGATCATGACCTGAGCCGAAGGCAGACGCTTAACGACTGAGCCACCCAGGCGCCCGCGATGTTTTCTTTTTGATCACAGGTTTTTATCATTGTCTCTTTTTTTTAGATGAGTCTTGCTAAAGATTTTTCTATCTTTTATTATTTTTTTCAAAGAAGCTGCTCTTGGCTTTATTGATCCTCTCTATCGAATCATTATTTCCTGTTTGATCACTTTCATTCTTACCTTTTAATTTCCTTCCTTTTTCCCATATTCTTTGAACTCCTTCTACTGTTCTTTTACTAACTTAAAAAAAAGATTTTATTTATTTATTTTAGAGAGAGAGAAAGCCTGAGCACGGGAAGGGGCAGAGGGAGAGAGAATCTGAAGCAGACTCCGTGCTGAGCGCGGAGCCCCACACAGGGCTCGATCCCACGACCGTGAGATCATGACCTTAACCGAAACCAAGAGCCACTCAGCCACCCCTTACAAACTTCTTAAGTCCTTAGCTCGTTAATTTTCATTTTTGTTCCTTTTTAATGTAAACACCTAAGGCTCTACATTGCCCTAAAAATCTTTTAAACTGCTTCTCTACAGTTTTGGTAGGAAGTCTTTCTTCACTACTGCCTGGTTTCTTAACATTTTCTAAAAGTCCTGATTTTTCTTTAACCTGTGAGTTATTTAAAACTATGTTTTTTACATTTTCAAGAAAATGGGGTTTTATTTTTATTTATTTATTTATTTATTTTTTAAAAAGATTTTATTTATTTATTTGAGACAGAGAGAATGAGAGAGACAGAGAGCACATGAGAGGGGGGAGGGTCAGAGGGAGGAGCAGACTCCCTGCAGAGCAGGGAGCCCGATGCGGGACTCGATCCCGGGACTCCAGGATCATGACCTGAGCCGAAGGCAGTCGCCCAACCAACTGAGCCACCCAGGCGCCCCGAAAATGGGGTTTTAAATACTATCACTTGGCTAGTGATTTCTAATATAGTCACACTGTAGCAGGACGTGTCTGGATGAAAG